TGCCAGTATATCATTTATTTGAGGTGTCCTTATCCTACTTCGTTTAAGATGATAAAGGATTAAGTAGTTGAATTTTCCCACAATGATATGATTAGACCATACGTTTTCATTATATTTCACATAGCCTTGCTTTTTCAAAAAGTATTCTCATTAGGGGTGGATTGCAGCTTAGATCTCGTCTAGGTCTTATATACACGGGACTAGAGTTACATTACTTATTTTTCGTTTATAAGTAGGTTTTCGAGACTACTCTTAGACCATTTATGTGTGGTGTCTTCAGCCAATTTATTTAAGAAGTAATGTAGTCGAGTGCTATAGAGAATAAACTTTGCTTCATCCACGATCTCACCACAGAATGCGATATGGGAGAATTGAAATTGACATCTGCCCTGTGACCGAAGGGCGCAGTGTGACGTAGTAATTAAGGCGTCGAGATTATAGGCTGCACTGCAATGGGTCTTATCCCGCTAGGGGTGTTGATATGACTTAGGCGAGATCGATGAAGCAATCTAACCTAGATGATAGTAACTTTTGAGAAAGCGACTATCACACAATAGACAATAGCACAACCTTAATAAGAGTCAACATTAGAGGATCATAGGCAAGTTTATTCATGTAAGGGAACAATTGCAACCGAATCCACTTTCGCTTCATGAATTAACTTCACTCATCTGCAACATGTAGAGTAGATTTGAGTTAGCCAACCAAATCACCAGAATTACAAGGTTATGTGTCTATAAAAAGTAAGTAGGGTTGCAGCCGGCCACTTTTCCTCTTGGTTTAGTATATTTTGCTCTATTTCGTAAAGTATGTATTCTTGCTCTGATAATGTCTGTCACAGTATATACAAAAGCTTAGTACAGGTTATCTGTACAATCTTAGATTCTTCAATCCGCGTCAATCTTCCTTCGGTTTCCAATGAGACCATTTCACGAATTCGTTCCAACCAACTTTTCCTTCAAAATGGAAAGTCATGTCACAATATATCACTGAGAAAATCATATAAACCGAATATTTTTTCATAACTTAAGATTAAAAAATTAGATGATATTAAGACCAAGATGGTGTGGCACTTGATGGTTGCAGTCTCCTTTCGATGTATAGAATTGGGTTGACCTCATTTCCGTAACTTGGACTTGTTGTCAGGGCGACTTAGTTGGACGTATCTTGTTCGAAGCCCTCTGTTATAATAGTTACTATAATTCTCAGTGTCAGACCATAGACTTGTTACATTCTCAGACATTTCACCAGCACCGTAGTAGGCTTCATCATTCTCAGCACCAAGCTGCCACTCGTCAAGGGATTGACTTGTCTCTTTGATGAGTTGTAGTGTGGTGCTGAGAATAACAAGACTCACTGATGATGTCAATTACTATGACGACGAAACATCCGAGGATGTACCAAGTCCACGGTCTGACGTTGGGAATTATGATAAATACCATGGCAGAGGACGCTGGAAAAGGTGCACCCAACTAAGCATCCCTGACAAAAAGGCGAAGTTGCGAAAACGAGATTTCAAATTTACTTTTGAAAATTTTATGAATAAAATTCAAAGAAATCAAAATATAATAAAGCAAAAAGACGAATTTTTAGAGTATAGGAAAAAGCCTAACGCAATTGAAGAACGAGAAATAGACTTGAACCAAAATGAAATCTAGTTTAGCTTAAATAGCTGGTTTCGCAGCAAATATTAATTCAAATCAAATGCTTAACAGATAAAGTAAATTACGTACCAACAACAGATGGGGTAGTAGGGAGGAACTGGCTGGAGGCGAAGGAAGCAGAAGTGGAAGGTGAGGTAGTGGTGTCGGCAACAGGAGTAGAATTTAGAGGTGAGGTGCTAGATAATCCAGAATAAAGTGTGGCATCAAATCTGGAAAGTAGGGAAAATCGAAGGCGCATGGATTTAGATCGGGTTGGTACGTTACGAGAAGGCCAAATGCTATGAGTGACTGTCAAAGGCAAGGTTGTGGTGCTGGTGGCACCAGAAGAGGTAAAGGAAGGTGCGGATGAGGCGCTGAGTGTGGCGGGAGTAGTGGAAGACTCGGCAGCTTTTGGTTGTTGGATATAGGTCATTGAGTTAGAGATAAGAGGAAATTGGGACATCCAGGTGTCCAATTGCTTCTCAAGGTATAAATGAATCTAAAAAGAAGAAGAAACAAAAAGGAAGGTGAAAAGAGGTTTCGCAAGTTTAACAAATTAAGACATGGAGGATAGATTCTGCGTTAAAATGGAAAGGACAGTGATCCAACAATCTATGCCAAATAAGGCATGAACCGTTAAATATGATGTGGATCATCTAATAAGCTTTGATGAGCATAAGCTAAAAGTTGTTTTCGCAAATTGGTTGTATTTTCAAAGAAAAATAGAGTAACCGGTATAATTTCCAGTGGGACCGTGGACTTCGTAAATCACAGACGTGGTGAGCAAGCCATGCCAATCTTAGCACCAAGCTTCAACTCGTAAAAGACAAGTGAAGTCGAAATTTTTACCATTTGCATGCCGAACATTTGTGGTAGCTCCACTTCTGTCCTGGAGTATTCACTTATCCTATATCGCCCAATCAATCATTTACTATTACAATTTTATTGCTTGCTTATTTAAACCTATAAGTTGTATTGAACCAATTTCGTTTAAGGTGATGAAGGACTTGTAGTAGAATTTTTCCACAATGATATGAGTAGAACTGACGTTTTCATTGAATTTCATCTAGCCTTGCTTTCCTTAAGGCTATTATCATCCAGGGTGGACTGCAGTTTCGACCTTCATCGGTCTTATCAACAACCCCAGAGGGAATCGAACCGTGACAGTTAAGAATGGGAGCTTGACACGTTAACCGCTCAACCACATTTCCACGATTGCCCTTGAATCACAGGGGAAATGTGAATTTCAAGGAAGGCCATGCTTTTTGCCATATCAAATTCTTTGGTGGGATTGTCGATGAAGCCATCGTATATTTGCTATAACAATCGACTACGTTAATTATATTTCGTACTTAAGTAGAGTTTAGAGACTAGTAGTAAATCAATAATATGAGATGTATTAACCCAATTTCGTTTAAGGTGATGTGAATAACTTTTGGGAAAGCAAAGCTATGTGAAATTAAATGGAGACATTAGCTCTACTCATATCATTGTGGGAAAATTCTACTACCAGTAAGTCATCACGTTAATCGAAATTGAGTCAATACATCTCATATTACTGATTTACTGGTAGTCTATAAACTGTACTTAAATACGAAAATTAGTAACGTAGTTGATTGTTATAGTAAAT